ACATCAAGTCTGCAGGATTCCCCTTACATGCAAGGAACTCTATTAAAAGGGGAAATACTGGGATCATGTTTAAGAGGAATCGCGATTTTTGGGTATAAAAGGAACTCTGATATAAGGGGGTCTTTGGTCACCAACCCCCCCCTTACATCAAGCCACAGTTTTCCCCTTTACACCCAGATTTCCCACTTACATCAGGGTCTCGGTTGCCCTTCACATCGGGGTCTGCAGATTTCTCCCTTGCCTTTAATGGGCAACCCCTGTGAGGATTAAACGTAACTCAAGGACGGGATTTAAGGGGGGAATGCGGGAATACTGATGGGGGGGGGGACGCATGCGCAGTTCCAAATCACCCACACCATATTTTTCATAACTGCCACTGTCCGTAAGCGGAAATTTACAAAACATTTTTAATAACTTGGGTTAAAATTTATAGACAGTCTGTAAATTTATTTATGACCAGTTGGCAACACTGTTTTCCACTGACCATGGGAGCTTACCAATGATCAGCTTTATTTAAATGGGAAAACCTTTATTCCAAAAGGAACAAAACTGTTGCCTGCAACTGACAATGCTGGCTGCACACAGGTGTCTCCCGATTGTACCTTCATCCAGAGTGTTAGGCACTCTATTAGAGGAAGGGTGGTACTGGCCTGATCACCAGGTGAAAATGGAAAAATAAACTAAAAAAAAGAAAACTAATGCAGCCACCACATTTAACCACTTTAACACAGGGCATTTTACCCAATTCCTGCCCAGACTAATTTTCAGCTTTCAGTGCTCTTGCACTTTGAATGACAATCAGTCATGCTACACTGTACCTCAACAAAACTTTTATCATTTTTCACAGAGATTGAGCTTTATTTTGATGGTACTTAATCAACACTGGGTTTTTTACTTTTTTGTGAAATAATGTGACAAATAGCGAAAATTAAAAAGAAAAACACTTTTTTTTTAGTTTCTATTAAAAAATTTGAAGTAAGTAAATTATTTTTATAACGTTTTGGGCCAAAATTTTTACTGCTATATTTCTTTGGTAAAAATAACCCAAATCAAGGTATATTACGGTATTTAGTCTGTGTGGTTAAGCTGAAAATTCACACCTGATCACGGGCCTATCTCATTATTTGAAGGCCCTATACATGCCAAAAATACAACCCCCCCCCCCCAAATGACCCCTTTTGGAAAGTAGACAGTCCAAGCTATTGGGAATATGAAAGACATTAGTTTATTTATACCACAAAATTGTCATATTAACAAGTTATTTCTCACACACAGCATATGCATACACCCCAAACACATTCTGCTACTCCTCCTGAGTATGGCGATACCACATATGTGAGACATTTTCACACACAGCCTGGACACATACAGAGGCCCAAGATCCGAGTAGCATCATCAGACGTTCTAGAGGCATAAATCACTGTATTTTACGCTCCATAATATGCACTTTTTTCCTCCTAAAAATGTAGGGGGAAATGTCTGTGCGTCTTATGGGAGCAAATATGGTGTTACAATACCGGGCCGGCGGCCGCTTGGCTGTTCTGTGGCAGCGCCAGGCACGGCCCAAGCAGCTGCCCCTTAAAGCGGAGTTCCAGCTGAAAAAAAAAAAAAAAAAGTCAGCAGCTATAAAAAAACTGTAGCTGCTGACTTTTAAAATACAGCCACTTACCTGTCTTCACCACCACCGCTGGGTTCACTGGTCATCTTCTCTCCTTGGGGCCATATCTTTAGTGTGGGCACACGGCTGTGACAGTTCACAGCTTCACAGCTGGGTGCCCACTGCGCATGCGCGAGAAGCGCTGCGCTTTGTGAATGGCCCCAGATTAGTCTTCAGGGACCTGTCCACGTGTCCCAGAAGACTATGAAGAGGGAGGGGACAACTTCCACTTCAGATCAGCTTAGGCAATCGCAGCAAGAAGTGGGAGCAGGTACCTGTGAAATTTGGGTACCCGCCCCAAAAGTCTGCAGTCTCTGGTCATCTCCTATCTCTGTCACTGTGTCCGCAGTCTCTGGTCATCTCCTGTACTGTGTCCGCAGTCTCTGTCATCTCCTGTACTAGTGTCCGCATTCTCTGGTCATCTCCTGTACTGTGTCTGCAGTCTCTGGTCATCTCCTGTACTATGTCCGCAGTCTCTGGTCATCTCCATGTACTATGTCTGCTGGTCTCTCCTGTACTATGTCCCGTCCTCAGGTCATCTCCTGTACTATGTCCGCAGTCTCTGGTCATCTCCTGTACTATAGTCCGCAGTCTCTGGTCATCTCCTGTACTATGTCCGCAGTCTCTGGTCATCTCCTGTACTATGTATGGCAGTCTCATGGTCATCTCTTGTATTATGTCCGCAGTCTATGGTCATCTCCTGTAGTATATCTGCAGTCTCTGGTCAACTCCTGTAGTGACATTCCGCAGTCTCTGGGTCATTTCCTGTACTATGTCGGTAGCAGGTCTCTGGTTATTTCCTGCATTATGTCTGCAGTCCATTGGTTCAGATTATTTTTTTTCTTGTTTCCCCCTTCTTCTCTAAACCTAGGTGTGTCTTATGGTCAGGGTGCGTCTTATGGAGCGAAAAATATGGTACACTTTTTTAATTTCCTGACTACCTATCACATTTTTGAAGGCCATGGAGCACCAGAACAATGGAATACCAACAAAATTAACCCTATTTTGGAAAGCAAACACCCCAACGTATATTCTATGAGGCATAATGGAGTCTTTTGAACATGTCATTTTTTCCATCAAGTTTTTTGAAAAATGTGGAAAAAGGAAATGAAAACATTTTTTTTTTTACAAAAAGTTGTAAATTTAAAGATATTTCTAACATAAAAGCATCGTACATACCAAGAATTAAAACACCCAAAAAAATGCATTCTGATAACTTGTCCCTGAGTTTGGTGATACCACCTGTGTGGTGATAGACTTTTACACAGCCCGGCCCGTACATACAGAGGCCCCAAAACATCCATGTAGCACCATCAGGCGTTCAAGGGGGCATAAATTTACACTTTAATTAGAATTAACACCCCAAAATACATTCTGCTACACTGACTGAGTATGGTGATACCACCATGTCATGAGGCTTTGCACAGCCTAGCTAAACGAAAGGGATAAACAAAAGGTTACCTGTGGTTATAGTAGAGAAGTTACCACATACAGGAGGAGAACAGTGGTCCAGGAAGAAGCAGAGATTTGGTCAGTAATAGCCAAATGAATAGTCCAGGCATCAGGCAGGAAACATAGTCCAAAAAAGTCCTGGGTCATTACAGCAGCAGGCAGAGATATGTCAGCACAGCCACAGTACTGTTTCAGGTAGCAGGCAAAAACATGGTCCATAAAAAGTCCTGGTTCATTACAGGCTGTAGGCAGAGATATGGTCAGCACAGTATTGGTCCAGGAATCAGGAAGGAACATCAGCTTAGGGCCTCAGTCAGGTAAGACCTGGCCACAGGGGTAGAGGCTTTGTCCCACCCAATCTTTTCAAAGCCTCGCGCACTAACAGACCCTGATCTGGGAATTACAAAACCCAGTAAAAACCCAAAAACTGATTTTCTCTACTCTGAAGCCCCTCACATATGTGGCGACCCCTATGTTATCTTGCATCCACTACTACAGTAGCAGGCAAAAGATCAGTTCAAGCGGCAGGCAAAAAATATGGTCAATTAACAGGCCGAGGTCAGTGCAGGTGGAAGGCAGAAACGTGGTTTAGAAACAATCCAGACGGCAGGCAAAAGCATTGGCGGTAAACAGGCCAGACCAGGTCAGTTCAGGTGGAAGGCAGAAAAACGGTTTAGAAACAATCCAGACGACAGTCAGAGGAATCGTTGGTAAACAGGTCAGTTAACGTGGAAGGACAAAGGCATGGTCAATCAAGGCAGCAGGCAAATGATCAGCATGGATTTTTGGAAACTGAGAAATGCAGGCTGTTAAAAATAAGGGGAACTAAATATTTTAGTGACGTGTGATAACGTCTCCGATGCATAGGCCTGGTTGGGAGGGACACTGGGGACAATGACACTGGTGTCTTTCTGAACTCCTCTTCTGCTGCATACCCGACATTTTTTGGTGTCTTCTTCCTGATTCTGTGTGTGGAATGTTTTCTGGAAAATGTTGCTCGTGAAGGCTGCTCACACAATTAGAGTGAATGTTTTCTGGAGGGGATCCTTGCTGGTTGATCAGGGCAGTGATAATTTCTTCTATATATTTTTGAGGAAGGTGGTGGGTCTTTCTGTTGACTTTTGATAGATGAGAAAACGCAATGTAAATAGCCAAATAGAAAAAAATAAATTGCAACTTTTTTTTACCAGAAGAGGGGCTTTCCTTGTTGATGTATAGTCTGAAGCATCTGATCAATTAAATCCCCCCCCCCATGAACTGATTATAATTGTGGATACATTCAGGTTTTTTGGATGGGACCACGTCTTCCATGAATTTCCACCGAGGTGTCATTGTGGATAGTGGACAGGACAAAAACATTCTCTCTTATCCCTCCATTTCAACATGGCCAACACTTCCTCGTTTCTCAGACTTGCGGATTCCCCCCTTTGTAGCCTTGTGGTTACTAAAACTTCGTGGGAAGCCCTTTCTATTTTTTGGGTGGTACTGCAGGCCTAAGGTTTTCCTACTGTACAGATGCTGGAAAAAGGGGCACACTGGTATAATAGTTATCAAGGTAGATATGATAACCTTTTTTGGAACAATGGGAACGCAAGGTCACAGACAATTTTGGCCACTTGTGCTCATGTAGGTTGGGCACTCAGGAGGCTGGAGCAGGGAGTCTGCCTTCATACACGTGGAATGCATGCACATATCCTGTACCCCCCCTTCGCAGAGCTTGTTCATCTTCGACAATCCATACCTGGCCTTTTACTGGGCAATGTATTGCTTGACTCCCAGCCGACCAGTGAAGTAGACAAGGGATTCATCCACACAAATTTGTTGCTCAGGGACATAAACTTTTGCATATCTCTTAGCAAAAGTATTTATTAGGGGGCATAATTTTGTATAGCTTGTCATAGTTGGGATGATCTCGGGGAGGGAACTGTGAGTTGTCATTGAAATGCAGCAGTTGCTCAGATGATCAGATCAAAAGCGTAACTGGGACAATGCAGAATAGATGGGCATATGGTGGATGGGGTTGGTGGACCAGTAGGCATGCAATTGTTTTTTTTTGTATGCCCCATGTTATCCGTAAGGCCCAAAAACAATTTTAACTCCTCCACTGTGAGATGTCTCCTTAGAAAAGGGCGGGCATAGGATGTACTGGGATTGTTATCAATATACTGCTGAGCAAAAGAATTTGTCTGGTCCACAATGTATTGCCGTAAATTGGAAGGGAAAAACAAAAAAATCAATTTCAGAAACATTTTTCAGTATTGGTCTTCACACCTGGTGTTAGGAATGGAGATTTTTTATTATGTATTGATGTCATACATATCCATCAGACTTATGTATAAAAAGTATAAATATAAATAAATAAAATACAAAACTCAACAGAAAGGAAACTAAAATGTCCCAACTGTCCCTGGGGAAAAAAAAAACAAAAAAACTCAAACATAAGCCTGAACGGCTCATAAATAAAAGTCCATAACCTGAAAGGAAAAAACGGAAACTATATACAATATTTACAGTACAAGGCCTTTATGGCCGAGACCACATGACTAAGAGCCTTTATGGGCTCAGGACAAAAACATAAACCATATGCAATTTCCATATTCAAACCTGCTGCTTACGGCCTATATTTTTTTTATTGGCCTAAACTATATACAAAGGAACCTAACCATACCATTATATACACCACAGGGGAGGGCTAAGGAACCCGCAGATCTTCCACGTCTGACCCCTACAACCTCTACCATGCAAAAGGCTAATACCAAAAAGATCCGAACGCAAAAATCTAGGGAGTGCTGAAGGCAGAAACTAGGGACAGATCCCACCACCCGAGATCAACAGACCGCAGCAACAGGCTTGATGTTCCTCCACGCCTCCATCCATGCTCTGCGTCGCAGCCTGTCTTTCTCAAGACCCCGAATTTTCCCCACCTCACCAAGGATGTCACTCGCCACCACCTGAACAGGGGACCTTCTGCCGAATGGAGACCTGACACCGTGCCATCCAAGTGTGATAACGGACAACTAAGCTGACTAAAAACAGGGTGTCCCAAATTAAAACCCATGCGACTCTCGAATGCTCCGTACACCCACTCCGCATACGACATGCGATGGAGGAAAGGAACACACCCAGAGCCCCTCCCACCTGTTTATACACCTCTACGTTAAAGGGGCACTGAAGCAAGAAGTGGTCCATAGTCTCCACTTCACCCCCACACTCCGACCTCGGACAACCACGGTCATCCACGCAGGACGGTACTTCAGTTACCCCTCACGTAGAGCCTGCCATGGAAGGCGAGCCAGGCCTGGTCCCGCAACTTCCAGGGGAATCCGCTCCAGATTTATCAACCGCAAACCCTCACTCATAACATGGCCCACCCGGCAATCTCTCAAGGCCAGCGGCGCATGGAAAGCAGATGCCACAATCCTCTCACCCATGAGCCTCCTGGGGAGGGACCGGTCCTCCTCCAACAGTCACATGCCACCGCCGGAGTAACTTCAGGCACGGGGCCACATAAGCCGGGAGCTTTACCATGCTTGACCCGCAGGCTTCTCACTGGCCCGCCACTCCCCAACTGTGCAGAAAGGGTCCAAACCAGATCCGGAACAGTCCTACCCATGCAGGCGGTCTCTCTGCCAGCATGTTACCAAAGGTTATGTTTCAAGATCATCAGAGAGAAAAAGACCACCGGGTTGACCATACCTAGGCCACCCTCCCGCCTGGATGAGTAAGTCCACGCCCTCTTGACGAGGTTCAGCCGATTCCCCCATAACATCTGGAAGAAACAGCTATAGATCCTCGTATAGAGCGATTTGGCAAGAGGCAAACGAAGCCTGACGTACAAAAAGACTGGGAGCAGGTAAAAGTCTTGATCAAATCAACCCTTTCCCTCAAGGAGAGCCGCCACCCTTCCAGCATCTAACTTTGACCTCAGCATCCGACAGCTTGATTCCCAATTTTGCTTGCTGTAATCAGCAGAGCCAAAATTGATTGCCAAACACTTGATGTATCGGCTGAGGCACCGGGAAGGTGTCCGGGAGTGAGAAGCTCGCACCCTCCCTACCCATCCAGAGAACTTCACATTAGTCCTGATTGACCTTAGGAACTGATGCCTCGGCATACTGATCCTCCATTACTGAAACCACCTCCTCCGCGCCTCCTCCGGTCCAGAAATGAAAACAGAAAACGTTCACAGCAGCATAAGCCACAACTCTCAAAGGCGGATCTCACTCATGGCACCTCACCAGCACCCGCCACTCACCGCCCGCCATCTAGCCTCCTGAACGAAGGGGTCGATGGCAAAGGCATAGAGCAAGGGACTCAGCGGGCACCCCCTGGCGCACCCCAGATCCAACCTCAAAGGGCTGCCCAACCCAACCATTCACCAACCATGAAGCTCTCCGCCCCTTTGATAC